ATCAAACACTCCCCACCGAGGGCTCATCCTAACAACTGCTGCCCATGGAAGGCTCCGTGTTGCCTCATCTGCCTCTCATGAGGAGTAGGGAAGGAAAGTAGGAAGGGAGGCAGGGAGGGAGGGAGATAAGAAGGGAGGCAGGGAGGAAAGAAGGAAGGAGGCAATGAAGGAAGGAAGGGAGGGAAAAACTCAAAATTAAGAAGAGATGGGGGCAGTTGACCCGGTGCAGTGAGGGAAATTGGAGGTGAAAAGGCAATAAATGGTGCCGTGGACCATGGGGGGGGGGAGTGGGATGTGAATGGCTGCACTGATACTCATTCAGGTCAAACACAACCAGACGCCCATAGGCACCGATGCAGCTCCTTGGCCACGCCCCGCGCCGTAACCTGGCCACGCCCCCCGGGTCGTCTCAGTTTTGAAGCCACGCCCCTAACATTCCTGGCCACGCCCCCATGCCCTGCGCCCGTCGCTTTTTGGCTAAACCACGCCCTTTCCGTTTGGCCACGCCCCCGCACGCCGTCGGTCCGATTCCAGCCACGCCCATCGCCGTTAACCACGCCCCTTCGTGCCATCAGCCACGCCCCCTTTCTGTCCTGGCCCCGCCCCGTCCCACGCTGCTCTTTGCCCGCACCGCGCCCGGTGCCGCTCCCGAAGCCACCGAACGGACCCGGTTCCGGCCCCCGGACTCACGGGCCCGCTGCCACACCCGGACCCGCACCGCGGACCCATGGACGGCGGTCTGCGGCCCGGATCCCCGCAGCCGGGACCGGAGCCGCGCTCCGGACTCGCGGAACCAGACCCGAACGCGGGCGCGGACCCGGCGCCCGGACCCGCGAACGCGGAGCCCGATCTGAATCGCGGTCCCGAGGACCCGGACCCGGATCGGCGTCCCGGCGCCGCGGAACCGGTTCCGGCCCCGGCGCCCGCCCCGTGCCGTTGGTTCCTGGAGGGCCGCTGCCGTTTCGGGCCGCGCTGCCGCCGCCCGCACCCGGGGCGGAGTCCGACCGCCGGCCCGGAACCGGCAGCGACGCGGGACGAACCGGGAGCGGCGGGGAAGAAGCCGCCGCTGCGCCGCGCCGCCGCCGTCCTCAGCCGCCTCCGCTGGGACCCTCGAGCGGACCCCGCGGCCGCCACCGTGGAGTACCGCGACCGCTTCGTGGGCGTCGTGGAGCGGCCGCTGCTGGAGTTCTTCACGGGGCCGCTGTGCGACGCGGGGCCCGCGGACCTGGCGGTGCCCGAACACCGCATCGTGCGCATCCGCTACCGCGGGCGCTGCGTGTGGGACCGGGAGAAGCGCATCGATCGCGTGTTCGGGTCGGGGGGGGGGACGGGGACCATGCGGGAGGTGCTGGAGGAGCTGGGGGAGGGCTGGGGGGAGTGAGGGAGGGCGACGAACCCCCGAAATGCCGTCGGGGGCCCTTCTGTACCCCGGAGGTGACGGTGAGGTCCCCTCTGTGCTGGGGACGTGGGGATGCGCACTCCTGGAGGAGCCCTCGGCTGCAGTGACGTGGGCACAGGGTTCCCTTCTGTATCCAAAAAAAGGGCACCAAAATCCCTTTTGCATTGGGGACACGGGGACGTGCACATGGGATCCCCTTGGGCACAGGCTCACGGACATAGGGCGCACACACGCTTGGGGCCCTTCTGTACCCTGAAAGTGACACGGACGTCCCTTTAGCACTGGGATAACATGGCGGTGACATGAACGCCTCACCCTGTTCTGTAGTCCCACGGTGACAGTGAGGTCCTCTCAGCACTGGGGATGTCGGGGACCCTTCTGTGCCACAAACACACGGAGATGGACACTTGGACCCCAGAGGTGACAGTGGTGTCCCTTTGGCATCGGGGACATGGATGTGGGGGACCCTTCTGGTACCCCAAAGGTGACACTGAGGTCCCCTCGGCCCTGAGGACAGGAAAACCTGGACCAGGACACCGGGCTCCTTTTGTCATGGGGACGAGGACGCACCGGGCGTCCTTACCGTACCCCAAAGAAAGTGGTACTGAGGTCTCCTTGGCTCCTGGCAACAATGACATGGGGACGTGGCACCCGGACACCTTCTGTCCTCCATGGGTGACACCGAGGTGGCCTTGGCACGGGGGACACGGGTATGGCGACGTGGACATTGGGTCCCTCTGGGCCACGGGGGGGACGTTGATGCCAAAGCCCCCTGAGCTCTGTCACTACACTACAGGGACATGGACAGAGGGTCCCCTTGCCCACGGGTGTACATTCTGTACCCAAACAAAGGCACCAGAATCCCTTCGGTGTCAGGGATGAGGATATGTGAACACGGACACTGGGTCCTCTTGGCCGTGGGGTGCTGTTCACTGTTCTGTTACCATTTCTGCTCAGAGGGAAAAGACAGAAGGCCTTGGGAGGTCACCTGATGGCCCTTTTCATCGTCTGGCTCACCTCTGCTGCCCGTCTGCCTCAGCATGAGCGTAAGGCCTTTGGCTTTTGGACACTCTCTCTCTTTGCATTTGATTTTTTAGCTCATATTCTAATGATCTTGTATTATTTTGTATTACAGAGTGTTATCTGGCATTCCGATATCTTTTCTAGCAAATTAGTTTGTTTCCTTTCAGATCGTCGCTTCTGTTCTGTTTCAGAGCCCATCTCTTCATCCTTTTTCCCATTTCCATTTTCCAGGGTGCGGATCCACAGATCCCCCCTCCCGCCAGTCACGGAACCAGGCCGAACCAGCCCACAGACCACTGACACTCTGGTCGAGGTGCCACAAGATAAAGCTGAGTAGCTCAGCGGTGGTAGCGGTGGGAGGAGGACGGTTGGATGGGATGATCTTGTAGCTCCACTCCAGCCTCGTGTTTCCACGGTTCCATCACCGTTCTGAGCTGCTCTCTGTGTCTGGGCCGTATTGCTTCAGGCGCTCCCTGCTCTCACTGCACAGAGGTGCTCTCTGAACTGCACACTGCATCTGCAGTGCTCCTGTTTCCTTCAAGCCATTCTCCTCTGCAGTTCCCAAAGGATCACAGAACCACCGAATGGCTTGGCTTACAAGAGACCTTTCAGATCATCCAGTTCCAATCCCCTGCTCCAGGCTGGGACACCTCCCACAGCCCCGTCCTGCCTGGCACTGAATGCCTCCAGGGCGGGGGCATCCACAAGCTGCTCCCTCTCAGGAAATAATTTCCTCCTAACAGCCAGCCTAAATCGACCTCCTTCCACTTGAAAGCCGTTTCCCCTCATCCTGTCGCCACACACCCTTATCAAACAGCCCCATCCCAGCTTTCACGGAGCCTCCCTTCAGGCACTGCCCACGACTTCAGCTCGCCGCTCGGCGGGCACTGACGGAAGCTGCTGGCAGCTCACCCCGTTTCTCCCTGCAGAAGAGGCCTCTGCACACCCAGCACCTTCACGCCGTCTGCATTAACAATACCTTCCGCGGCTCACACGCCTCTCTCGCTCCTCCCATTTCTTTCTACGCCCGTCTTGCCAAGCCGCCGCCCATCGTAAACACGCGCCGTTTGCAGTAAGCGAAGCGCTGCACCGCAGCCGCTCCCATCGCTTCCCGCAGCGCTGCGGAACGGGACGGGACGGGACGCGGCGCAGCACAGTGCGGGCCGGGCCTCACCGCCTGCTCTCAGCCGCCCCGCGCAGCGCTGCTGCAGCCCCGCGCCGTCCGCGCGTCCCGCCGGCCGCCACCCACCGCCCCCCGGCTCCGCGCCGCAGCCCCGGATACGAACTGCGGCAGCGCCGCTCCCGCCCCGTCCCACTCCCCCCCCGCCCGTCCGCACTCCGCTTCCGCTGCAGGCCGGACGTGACGTCATCATGGCGCGCGGTGACGTCACGGCGCGTCGCTCGCTCCGCCGGCTTTCTCCGCTGCGATCGTTCCCCGCTCCGTCCCGGGGCTTCCTGCGCTGCTCCACGGCCTGAAGCCGCACCGGGCCGCGTTTCCCGCAGGCGCTGCCCGCTGTCCCCGGGGGCGAAGCGCCGCCCGGCTGCCGGCTGAGATCCTCTCCCGTGTCGCCGTTTGCTGTCAGCCGCCTCGGGCTCTTGGTGCCGAACGGGAAGTGCTGAGTCCCGGCCCGGCCCGCTGATGGATCGCCTGGCAGCGGGCCGCTCAGCCCTGGCAGCGCAGGTAGCGGCCGTGCAGCGGTGTGATCGGAAGGGGGGGCCGCACCTCTCTTGGATCCCGTGGAAGGGCCTTCCTGGAGATCCTTCCTTTTCCCCGTGCGCCGAGATGTTCCGAGATCGCTGAGCAATCTTCCTGGTCGTCCCTTTGCCGTTCCGCTTCCGTATCTCTTTCTCGCTATGCTGCCACAGCCGCCCAATAGCATCAGTGCCCCACAGCGCCGCACCAAAAACTGTCATTGCCGCGTAGCAGCGCTCCCCCGTGCTGCTCCCCCCTAACAACGCTGCCCCGTAGCATCATTGCTCCACTGTGTCCCTGCCCCACGGCGTCACTGCTTCTGTGGCAACTGCTGAGTCCCGGCCAGATCCGCTGATGGATTGCCTGGGAAAGGACTGGTCAGCCCTGGCAGCGCAGGCGAAGGCAATTTAGCTGTGTGATAGGAAGGGTTTGAGCCTGGCTGCACTCCCTTAGACCCCATCAACGGGCTGACAGCCACTGGGGAGGATCTGTGGTCGGAGATCCCTCCTTGGTTGTGGTGCAAAAGGGTCTGGCCTCTTCTCCCAGGCAAACAGTAGGACCCGAGGAAACGGCCAGAAGTTGTACCAGAGGAGGTTGAGGTTGAACATTAGGAGAAACTTTTTCTCTCAGAGGGCGGTCAGGCATTGCAATGGCTGCCCAGGGAAGTGGTGGAGTCGCCATTCCTGGCAGTGTTGAAGAGGTGCCTGGATGAGGAGCCAGGAGATATGGTTTAGTAGCTTGTGGTACTAACAGGAATGGGAGGGGGGTTGGACTAGATGATCTTGTAGGTCATTTCCAACCTTGCGATTCTATGATTGTATGATTCTAGGGACAGCAGCATTCCCTCACACCTATCCTGCCGATTCTTACGTCCCAGCAGGCTGCAGTGAAACTCCTGCCTTTCACCTGTGACAATCGCAGTCTGCGGGAGAGCAACAAATGGCCACACCGCATCCATCTCAGGTAGGAGTGTGGGGAAGCAAGCAAGTGAGGGATGTGAATGCATGGGGAGAGGGAGGTGCCTTTCTCTTCTCTGCCAGCTGCTTCCCTGGGCCGTGGCAGTTCCCAGCAAGGAGCCTCTTTGCTTGCAGGAGCCCGTGACCTTTGCAGAGGTGGCCGTGTATTTCAGCAGGGAGCAGTGGGCGCTGCTGGACCCTGCGCAGCGAGCGCTGTACCGGGACGTGATGCTGGAGACGTACGCGTGCGTGGCCTCGCTGGGTGAGGGCTTTGCTGCCTTTCGTCCTTGTTAGGGCTCCTTTGGCTGTGTAGAACGACACTGCAAGCAGGGCTTAGAATAATTGCAGTGTAGTTACTTGTGGAGGAACGCGGCAGCACCAGAAACAAAATGTAGGTAAGTTTCTCATATGTTTCAGGAAGGATTAGCTGCTTAGAACTCTGAGAAATGGTCCAGAGTCACTGCTGGCCAGCAGCCATCAGCTGGGAGGGGTTGGATCAGCTCCTGCAAGCTGTCTTTGTGTGGCTGTGTTGCATATTGCTGCGTTGCATTGTGCCGCCATGCTCCAGCAACCTGACAACTCTGGTTATTTGCCTTTTTTTTTCCTTTTCCATTGAATTATTGCAAACCTTTATGAAGCCTTGGGCACTAAGCAGTTTGGATACAATTTAAAAAAAGAAATCCTAAGGTGAACATTAGAGAAACTGTTCCTGCATAATTTTCAGGTACGTCGAGGTCATGTTGGGCTTCAAAGCAAGCCAGTATGTGTTGGCCCAGTGTCATCCAGGCCCTTATTGTGGTTACAGAAGTTGGGAGGGACACCGAGTGGAGTTGTTGGAGAAGCAGCTGTGCCAGAATCATCGGAATGCTTTCACGTCCTCTGCTTCTGTATTTAACCTCCATGTCCAGCCCCCAAACCTATGGTGGTCTCCCTGCTTGAAGGAGAGGAAGACCCCTGGGACCCAGATGTGCATGTCCTGGAGGACATGGCAGGAGATCTCAGCCCAGGTGAGATGGTGGGGGACAGGAGGAGGTTGGGCTGACAAGAACCATCTTTGTCTGAGAAATAGTTTAGGCCTACTGTGTTATTTCTGGCTTTTCTCTGTCATCCAGCAGGACGTGGAATCACAACTGTTGAGGAGGGTGTACAGAATTGTGATGTGACTGAAAGGCGGTGTGGAAGTGTCTTGGTGGAAGAAATCAGAAAGGATATCCAAGGGGATCTGAAACAAGTAGAGCACCTCAAGAAGCAACAGGGAAACCCTCCAGGAGAGACTGTGAGGAATCTCCTGGACTGCAGCACAGGTCAAAAACAGCCCGAAGATGCAAGGAGTAAGGAAGTGTGCCAGGAGAAAAGGCAGAACCCACGTGCTGAGTGTGGAAAAAGCCTGAAAAGCTTTTTAACCACTGTTGTGTATGCTCAATGAAGAGATTGTACAAGTGTTCAGATTGTACCAAAAGCTTCAAATGGAAATCCCACCTCGCCTTCCATCAGCGCATCCACAGAGGAGAGAGATCCTTTAGGTGTTCTGAGTGTCCAAAGAGCTTCAAGAACAGTTTCCCCCTCACCTGCCACCAGTGCATCCACACAGAGGAGAGACCCTTCAAGTGTCCTGAATGTCCAAGGAGCTTTAAAACCAATTCCCACCTCACTGGTCACCAGCGCCTCCACAAAAGGGAGAGAACCATTAAGTATTGTGAGTGTGGGAAGGGTTTCAAATACAGCTCTGTACTGCAGTGCCACCAGCGCATCCACACAGGAGAGAAACCCTTCAAGTGTTGTGAGTGTGGGAAGCACTTCAAGTACAGTTTTGTACTGAAGTGTCACCAGCGAATGCACACAGCAGTGAGACCCTTTCAGTGCTCTGAGTGTGGGAAGGGCTTCAAATTTGCTTATCAATTACAGCACCACACGCATCCACACAGAAAAGAGACCCTTTACATGTCCTGATTGTTCAAAGAGCTTCAAAATCAATTCCCAGCTCACCTACCAGCAGCGCATCCACAGAGGACAGAGACCCTTTAAGTGTCGTGAGTGTGAGATGAGCTTCAAATACAATTCTGTATTGAAGCGCCACCAGCGCATCCACACAGGGGAGAGACCCTTCGAGTGTCCCGAGTGTCCCGAGAGCTTCAGAACTAGTTTCTACCTCACCTGCCACCCATCATCCACACAGGAGAGAGACCCTTTAAGCGCATGTCAGCAGTTTGTGACGTGGTTTGGCCCGGTTCTGTGACTGGTGAAGGAGGAGGATCCACGGATCCATGCCCCAGAAAAGGGAGAATGGGAAAAGGAAAAAGGGGAAGGAGGAAAAGGGAAAAGGACAGGTAGACGGGCCTAACATCCAAACAGTGGCAGTGATCTGAAGAGGAAAGCTCATTTACTAGAAAATATATCAGAACGCAAGATAACACAATATAGTACAGTCTAATGGGAATTGGAGTTAATAAATAAAAGTGAGAGAGAGAGAGAGAGAGTGTTTGAAAGCTGAAGGTCTTGCTGTAATGCTGAAGGTGAGCACACGTGCTGCCAGGACGAGCAGAAAGTGAAAAAAGAGACATCTTGTGATGTGCAAACAGTTTTTATCTTTACCTCTGATGTGTGAATGGAAACACAGAGTCCCCTGGGGCATGTAGTTCTTCTCAGAACCAGCTACCCAGAGCAGTAACTGTAAATCCCAAAGCACTGCACACAATCACAGAATCATAGAATGGCCTGGGTTGAGAAGGACCTCAAAGGTATGTATTTTCAAGCCCCTGCCGTGGGCAGGGCGCCAACCATTAGACCAGGCTGCCCAGTGCCACATCCAGCCTGGATGCAATGGTGTGGAGTACTGGTGACAAAACATCATAAAACTAACACTGCATCCCTTATTCCACATTACTGTATCATGCTCAATATCTAAATACATACAGATCGTTCTCAGTTAGCATGTATCAACATGTAATTAACGTTGTAATAATTGTACTAAGCACACACACATGTACATACACGTGGAATGACTGAATGCACTCGGCCAACGTCAAATTCCCTTGTGGTACACATTGAACATCCCCTCTTTCTGCATCACGCTGAGCAAAAACAGTTCCACTGTGAGTTTTGCCCTTTCCAGAGGCTGCAAGGACCCACAGTGCTTTTCCCAAGATGCTCTTTATATGTACTGCAGGGACTTTATCTCCCTGTATGTTATGTAGGGAGCTGGGTTGGGTTGGACCATCGCCATTGACCGATCCTTGAGCGTTGACCAACCACGTGGCTTCTGCCAAGCGCTTCTCCCAGTGCTCAAATGTGCTGCCACCCATTGCTTTCAACACAGTTTTTAACAAGACGTGTCATTTGATTGTACCAGAAGCTGGTGCATGATAGGAGATATGATAAATCCCCTCAACGCCATGATCTTTGGCCCAAGTGTTCACAAGAGAATTTTGGAAACGAGACCCATTATCTGATTCAATCCTTTCTGGAGTGCCGTGTTGCCACAGGACTTGTTTCTCCAGACCTAATATGGTGTTGTGGGCAGTAGCATGGGGTATGTGTATGTTTCCAGCCACCCAGTGGTTACCTCCACCATGGTGAGTACATAACGCTTCCTGCTGTGAGATCATGGCAAGGTGGTGGAATCAACCTGCCAAGCCTCCCCTCTGAGCTAGAAATAATTAACCCTTGTGTTGCCAGTTCAAGTCCATTTGAGCCGCCTTAAGTTTAGAGGCTTAATCTACCTGATGGTTATTTTGTTGTTCTTCAGTAGCCCAGTTCTTGGGCACGTGAGCATCTTTGTGACACACCTTTACAACCATATTCTTTACTTGGGCAACAACGTCTTTCCACCGTTCAGCAGTTCAAATAGATGTACCCCTTCTTTATCAGTTGTTTTGTTCCCACTGCTTTCACCACCCCCATCAGGCATTTGCCACTATCCGTGAGTCACTATAAATCATTGGCCACCTCTCCCGTCCAGCAACATCTAAGGCCAGTTGAACAGCCCCTACCTCTGCAAATTGGCTTGATTCTCCTTTTCCTTTGGTGGCCTCTGCAACTTGTCATATAGGGCTCCGCACAGCAGCTTTCCATCTGCAATGCTTCCCAACAATAGGATACCATCCATCAGAGAACGGCTACTTTCATTTTCTGGTAGTTCATTGGATGATGGGGTCTCTAGCACACAGTACCTCTTCTGCTGGTGATGTTCCAGACTTTTTGTCTTCAGGTCAGTCCACGATCACCTCTAAGATTGGTGGGTGACTGAGGTTCCCCGTTTGAGCTCGCTGTGTAATCAATGCAACCCACTTACTCCAAGTGGCATCAGTCGCATGATGGATGGAGGGAACCTTTCCTTTAAACATCCAGTTCAGCACTGGCAGTCGAGGTGCCAGAAGGAGCTGCATTTCAATACTGACTACTTCGGAAGAGGTCCAAGCCCCCCCATATGTGGCCAAGATTTCCTTTTCAGTTGGGGTGTAGCACTCTTCAGCCCCCCTGTATGCTCAACTCAAGAGGTTAGCCTCGGGTCTCCTGAGGCTCCTTGCCACTGCATCCAAGTGGGATCTTTCTCTCTGTCCCAAATGTAAGAAGAGCTTCTACCACAGCTCCAGACTGAGTACCGGAGAATCCATTCAGGGCAGAGACCTGGAAAGACAGAGTTTCATCCCGGGGCTGCAACATTATTGACAGCTGGCTAATCTGTGTGAGAGGTAGACCCTGCAAGTGTCTCACCTGCAGGAGGAGTTTCTTTGAGGGCTGGCACCTCTTTGCTCATGGGAAAACCCCATGAAAAACTGGAGAGATCCTGAGGATGGTAGAGACCTAAGGATCATGGAAACCCAAACGCTTCCCACCGTACAGAAAGAGTTTGGAAAAACAAAGTGGCATCACTGGCACTCTGTCTGGAAAAGGGACTTATACCTGGGAGCTTCTGATGGTTTCTTTCCCTGTTAATAGAATACAATCTCTCCCCATGCCCAGTTTTCTGCTCTTCCTGTCAGCAGCTTTTTGAAGCCATTTCTTAAGGAAGTTCAGCTGTGTAGGGATGTCCTGTGTGCACGTGTTCTGCTCAGTAATTTTGGAGTCCACTGATGAATCGCGTAGAAGGGTCAGGAGAGCAGTCCAATGTCTCTTGGAGATTTAGCAAAAATGACCTGCATTCAGAAGAGGTCATCCTACCTGCAAGCTTTCACAGAGCAACCAGCCAATCCCTTCATCCTTGTGTCAGACCGCCGACAAGTCATGTGGAAGAGACCAGCCTTGGAAGTTAAGCTTGGTTTGCCCTGCTCCTCATACTCCTGATCACTGCATCCCTTCTGTGGCAAATGGCCTTTCTGTGCAGTGTGAAAGGGGACAGGGAAGGAGAATAAAGGAGCTGAGTTGTCCTGCAGCTTTTGTTTTCATTATGCTCTGGCCCTACTTTCTCCAATAAAAGACAAAGCGTTGAAGGACTGGGGAAGGTGGAAGGAGGTCAGACTCCAGATCCCTGCATGCTTCTGGGGGAAGGCACGTTTGGCACAAGGCCCCATCTCCATTCCTAACATGCGCACAGGAGGTTGTGCAGGGAGGGCTCTGTCACTCAGCCAGTTCAACCAGCACTTGTATTCACCCAGCAGCAATGTATGTCCTCTTTGTAACATGCGACCTCTGCACAGCCCGGAACTGGTGCAGCCTCACATACAGAGCTCCCCAGTAAACGAGCAGCTCTCCAGGTCTCCATCTGCATGGTTGTTATGCATCATTGTTTTTCTGGTCTTGGTGTCCATCCAAAGTTGGAGGCACAGCATGTTGACGAGGCATCTGGATCTGCTCCACATGGAGTTGGGCAGACTGGAGCACATTATAAATGTTTCTATAGCACTGCACACAGCATGAGGTGTAAGCAGGAGGAGCTAGAAGCTTTTAGCTTGGTCCTGGAGTTACAACATCCTCAGCATAAGCAAGGTGTGATGGAAAGGTTCTATGAAATGCATGCTGTGTGCACTGCATGGCTCCGGGCTCTCCAGGATAGGCAGGGCAGGTGAAACAGGATGGTGTTGCTGTACGTAATGGTGGGCTGGAATGCATGGAGCTTGCTGTTCCCAGTGACATGGCTGTGAGACTCCAAATAAGGTTTAAGGGGCAAGGCAGTAAGGTGAGAGTCTGCTATAGGCCACCCAGCCAGGAGAATGATCCCAATTAATCATTCCTAGGAAGTGTGAGAGAACAGTGAGGTGGATTGTGATCTGATTGACCGGCAGAGCACGGAGGGTTGTGATTATTGGTTCAGAATCTGATTGCAGGCCTGTAACTAGCAGTGTTTCCCAGGGGTCCAATCTTGTTCAACATCTTCCTCGGTGACCTGGATGAAGGGATAAAGTGCACCCTCAACAAGTACAATGCTGGGAGGAGTGGCTGACATACCAGAAATCTGTGCTGCCGTTCAACAAGATGTGAACAGAACGGTCAGTTGGGCAGACAAGAACGTGATGAATTGCAACAGGAGGAAATATAGGAAGGGGGAGGAAAAACTGCCTTCAGCCATACAGGCTAGGGTTGACCTACTGGAGAGGAGCTTCCCAGCAAGTTTGGAGCTGGGGAGCGAGGGTCAGGGAACAGCAGGGTCATGCAGCATCATTTGTCTGCAGACAGAGCGCAGCTTTGCAGGACTGCCTCTGACATTTGGTCCCCACTATGGCCACGTCCCACTGCTGAGCTCCATGGGTGTCAAACAGGTTGCCCAGGGAATTGGTGGAGTCACCGTCTCTGGAGTTGCTTAAGCAAAGGACGGATGTAGAATTTAGGGGCGTGTGTTGGTGGGTGCTCCTGGTGGTGGGTGGCTGATTGCAGTAGATGAGACCTTGGAGGTCTTTTCCAACCTTAATGATTCAATGATTCTCTGAAGTCCAGTCCCTGCCTTGCTGGCCGGTCCTTCCAAAAAGTGTCATAACCATCCACGTGGGCCTTCCAGTCATCAGAGCTGTTCCCACTGTGTCTCTGTGGTAGCCATAAGATCACGGTTCTGCAGCCTCGCACAGCCCTCAGATTATTCCCATTTATTCCCTACGCTGCATGTGCTGATGTACGGACACTTCAGAGAAGAAAAGGCAGTCGAGATGCAGGCATCTCTAGAGGAGATCCCTGCTTGTTCCAAGCTGCAGAGCGAGGCCTGAAGCGGAGCTCTGTTTCTGTGGGTCACCAGGGACCAGGCTGAGTGTTGTCTGCAGTTGCAGTAGCGTTGTTAAACCACCCGTCTTTCTCTGTCCAATACCACAAAGCTTTTTATCTGCTTTGTGCAGCTCAGCTCCCTGCCCTAAGAGATGATGCTCCTTGTGCAGGGACTGGCCTTATCAGCAGGAGGAGGTTCGAGGCACTGGGTGAAATGGACAGCCTGAACAAAGTCTCCTTTCATAGCGGTTCTGTCTGGGTGAACGCAGACATGGCCGGGCATTTCCCTGTGTGGGCCCTGGATCCAGCCCTCACGTGAGCGCTCACCACCGTAGTGTCAGAGGTGAAGAGCCCCGTCACTTCTGCCTCTGCCCAAACTACTGAGGTCACTATGAAAGGAAGGCAGGGGGACTCAGGGGTCTCATCATCTCTGTCCTCATCGTCTCCCAGTCAAAACCATCGCCCTCATATTATCTCTGTGGTTCCCAAGGTTCACCTCATGGTAGCTCGGCGCTCACCTTGTGATCCCTTGTTGCACTTGAAAGCCCCAGCTGCTCCTGCTCACCTCCGAGAGCACTGAGACTCTGGTGTGCACCATGGGCCTGACCATGGCCACGTCCCACTGCTGAGCTCCATGGGGGTCCCTACAGATCCTTGGGCCACCAAAGAGTGTCTGAGTTGGAACGAGGACACTGCGACAGGAACACTGGGTGATCATGGGGTGTCACAGCCAAAACACGACACAGTCATGAGGTGACCGTGGATAAGAATGTGGTGACAAATAGGTCAGGGATCAGAAGGGGAAAGTCTGGCCATCGTAGGGTGACCATGGGTAATCATGTGGGTCACATGGGGCAAAGATGGTGTTGTGATGGGGTGACAAAGAGGTGACCACTGGGTGACCACAGCGGGGTATCTTTGGGTGACCACAGTAAGGAAGGGGAAGGACCACGGAGTCAACAGCTCAGCGAGTTCTAATTGAGAAGGGGACAGAGCAGGCTGTGCAGGGGCAGCAGGGAACGCGGTGACAACACAAAGGGAAACTCTAGCTCCTGGCTGGGGAGCGCAGGACATGCTGGTGGAGCAGCAGTGTGGGGCAGCTCGTAATTCAGAATCCCTGCAGGGAAAGGGAGGACCAGAGTGGTTTTCGGGCTCCTCTGAGCACAGTGATGTCACTGGGGAATGAGAAATTACCTGGAGTGGTTGGATCGGGGTGCCCTGAAACTGAGCGAGACGAGGTCAGCATGGTCACAGCTCAACACCACTGCATCCCCCAGCACAGCCCCAGCTGCTCCTGCTCACCTCCAAGAGCACTGAGACTCTGGTGTGCACCACAGGCCTGACCATGGCTACGGCCAGCATCGACACAGGCACCGTCCTCGTGCTCAAGGTCGTGCAGATGAATGGTGCCTGCAGCCACAGGAGCCCGCTGTGATGAGGCTGAGCGTCCCGTGTGCCATCATAGCCCCGCATCCCCATCCTGACCCACACATCCCCTTATGTGGGTCCTGTCCTTGGGGTGCTTGGTCAGAGGAAGGGTGCTTGGACACAGCCCAGCCCCACTGCTGACCTGTGTCACTGCAGCGTTTGCAGCCCCGCGCAACAGCGCTGTGAGGTCTGGGAGGTCCGTGAGGGCAACCGTGGGTGACCATGGGGTGATCAAAGGGGACCACGGGGAGAACATGATGTGACCGCGGTAAGACATCAGAGGTAACAGCCCATAAGAATGGGGGGCAAAGAGGCGATTATGGGGGTATCTTGGGATAACCACGGGGAGAGCAGGGGGACCATCGGGTGACCATGAAGTTACTATGAAGGAAGTGTGAAGGAACTGTGGGGTGAGCATGGAGAGACCGTGGGCAGAATATTGTGTGGCCACCAACTGACCATGCAATGACACTGGGATGAGCATAGAGCGACCACAGGCCGGAAAGAATGGAAAGAGCCTGGGAAGTGGCACAGGAAGCAACTGAGCGTGTCCCACAGAGCAGTTAGCAGCAGGGCTGGTGGCATCTGTCACTGGTGTATGGAGAGAGCTCTGCGTCACAGGGCTGCCTCTTACATTTGGCCACCATGAAATACTGGAGGGGGAAGAGAAATGAAATGAAATGAAATGAAATGAAATGAAATGAAATGAAATGCTGCCCCGGCCACCTCTGAGAGAAGTGAGACCCTGTGAGCGCCCTGGGCCCGGCTGTGGGCACTGTGGAAATCATCTCAAGATGAGAGGTGCTTGTGCCAAGCAGGGCCTCCTGTGAGGAGAGGTAATATCCCGGGTGCCCTCACTGTCTGCATCCCAATCCTGCCCCACGCATCCCCTGAATGGGCACCTGCCCTTGGGTGCTGGAGCAGACATGGGGTGACAAACAGGTGAGCGTGGTGAGAGCACTGGAGGATCGTGGGTTCGCTATGGATGGACCGTGGGGATCATGGATCAAAGGGGGGAGCGTGGAGTAAGCAGGAGGGTGCTGGAGCAAACAGCGGGTGACAATGAGAAGACGAAGGGCAGACAGTGGCATTTCTGTCAGGTGTCCATGCGGAGACGACAGGAGTAATATGAGCGGAACACGGAGTGAGAAAGGGATGATAAAGAGTTGAGCATGGTGCGAGGACAGTGAAACCGCGTGGCAACCACTGAGCGAGCGTGGCAATGTCATGGAGGGAGCACGGGGCCACCCGTGGGGCTCAGGCAGTGGTGGAGCACTGGGAGCGATACGGCTGTTCCCAGGCAGAGCAGCGGCAGCGAGCATTCCTCGGAGCAGACAGACAGACAGACACACAGACGGACGGCACGCAGGACGGCGCCGTCACGCCAGGGCTGATCGAGGTACCCGCAATGGAGATCTGCCCGGAGACGGGTGATGCCGCCCAGCCCAGGCACTCCCTGCTCCCTTCATCGTCCTCCCACAGCAGCCATGGGGAGCGGCCGTGCGGTGGCGGCCGGGGCCGTGCTGGTGGCATCGGTGGCGCTGGGAGCACGGCTGGCCGCTGGCACGCGGCCCTCGGGTGAGCGCGGAGAGCCGGGGTGGGGATGGTGCAGGCCGGTCCCTGCCGGGCTCTCCCGGCACCCATCCCAGCCCCGCGCGCGGCGTTCGGAGCCCCGGGGCTCCGGGACGCCAGCGGCACCGCAGCCGTGGGGGGCGCGGGGTGGGGCCGGGACGGAGCGAGGGCGGGGAGGGGCTCTCGGGTCCGGCGAGGGGCCGCTGCGCTCCGTGACGGCGCCCTCTCCCCGCAGCGTTTTTCCAGTGGAGCGCTACAGTTGAGTGCCGCTTCCTCAATGGCACCGAGCGGACGAGGTTTCTGGTGAGGCACGTCTACAACCGGCAGCAGTACGTGCACTTCGACAGCGACGTCGGTCTCTTCGTGGCCGACACGGTCCTGGGAGAGCCTTCTGCTCGGCTCTTCAACAGCCAGCCGGACGTGCTGGAGAAGAACAGGGCTGCGGTGGAAATGCTCTGCAACTACAACCACGAGACAGTGGCCCCTGTGACGCTGCGGAAGAGAGGTGAGTTCACGCGTCCGCACAGCTCGCGACGGGCACAGCGCTGATGAGCACACGCGGCGCTCTCACAGCCCGTCCCCAACGCTCTCCCTCTGTCCCCCGGCAGAGCCCAAGGTGAGGATCTGTGCGCTGCAGTCGGGCTCCCAGCCCCAAAGCGACCGGCTGGCTTGCTACGTGACGGGCTTCTACCCACCCGAGATCGAAGTGAAGTGGTTCCAGAATGGGCGGGAGGAGACGGAGCGCGTCGTGTCCACGGACGTGATCCAGAACGGGGACTGGACCTACCAGGTGCTGGTGCTGCTGGAGACCAGCCCACGGCACGGGGACAGCTACGCGTGCCGGGTGGAGCACACCAGCCTGCGGCAGCCCATCGGCCAGCCCTGGGGTAAGGCCCCTCGCCCCTGTCGGCTCTGGGGGGAGTGGGAGCGTGGCCTTCAGAACCTGAGCTCCCCTTCCTGTCCCTGCAGAGCCGCTGGTGGATGTGGGCAGGAGCAAGCTGCTGGTGGGCATCGGGGGCTTTGTGGTGGGGCTCGTCTACCTGGCGCTGGGGCTCTTCCTCTTCCTGCACACTAAGAAAGGTGAGCAGTGGGGCAGCGGGGCTGTGCTGTGGGGAAGGAGATGGCGGCGGTGAGCTGTGGCCACGCTCGCTCAATGTGACCATGACCTCGTCTCGCTCAGTTTCAGGGCACCCCGATCCAACCACTCCAGGTAATTTCTCATTCCCCCAGTGACAGCGCTGTACCCGGGAGCCCCAAGCTCACTGCGGTCCTCATTTCTCCCCCTTTCCCTGCAGGGATCCTCAACTAGCAGCTGCTGCTCCACCAGCATGTCCTGCGCTCCCCAGCCAGGAGCTAGAGTTTCCCTTTGCGTTGTCACCGCGTTCCCTGCTGCCCCTGCACAGCCTGCTCTGTCCCCTTCTCAATTAGAACTCGCTGAGCTGTTGACTCCGTGGTCCTTCCCCTTCCTTACTGTGGTCACCCAATGACACCCCGCCGTGGTCACCCAGTGGTCACCTCTTTGTCACCCCATCACCCATCACAACACCATCTTTGCCTCATATGACCCACAGGGTTACCCGTGCTCACCCCACACTGGCCAGACTTTCCCCTTCCGATCCCTTCACTCTCAAGCCATTTTTCCCCCTGAGACTCCTTCCTAGCAACCCTGTGGTCACCCGATGTTGCCACCGTGTTCTCAGCATGCCAACCCATGTCCTCACCATCATTACCCCGCGGTCATCCCGGAGACACACATTCTGCACCCACTTTCTCACCCATCTCCTGGCTGTGTTACGCTTAGGCCGTGACACCTGGCGATCACTCGGTGTTCCCATCGAAATGACCTCGCAGTGTTCTGGTTCCAGCTCAGACACTGCGAGTAGCACGCTGCTTTTTTGGCTGTTGCTGAGTGATGGAGCGCTCCTGAGGCCGGGCCGGGCCACGGAGAGGGGAAGAACCATTGCCATGATGACGTGGAGCCAGGACAGGTGTCCTCATCCAAGCATACGTGACGCCATGCGGAAGGCCTTAAAGCTGTGTGGAGTTGGGCAGAATACAGACGATGCTTGACGCTCGGGGATTGGCTGGGCGTTGGGTGGAGGGCGCTGACACGTCTTGCCCCATGGCCACCCCATGCCCACCTCTTCACAACCTCATTCCCACCTGACGCTCCTCCCCGTGATCCTATGGTGTTTCCCTCTGTGTTCCCTTCACTGTCATCCCGTGCTCAGCCCGCGGTCGCCCCACGGCCTCGCCATGATCCCACCCCTCGTGATCACCGCGCGTTCCCTGTGTCATCCATCGCTGAGGAAAACGCTCCGAATCGTAGATTTTTAAGCAGGCAAAGATCTTTGTGATAGCAGCAAAGTCTGTCCATCATTGCAACAATGGGCCCCTGCTGGCCAAAGGCAGAAATTGCACAGCAGTCCATTCGTTCAGTTCCATCCCCGGGTCCGACGCGGTAATTCCTCTCCTGGCACAGGTTGGTGGAGCTTCTCCTGGTCACCATCTTCCCGACGCTGTTGCCACAATAGAAGGTCTGGTACCAACTTGTTGTTTTTAGGTATGGCCTGTGCTTTCCTACACAGGTAGGAGGGCAGTGTTTCCAAAGGGAAGCACATTGGTTCCGTGCTGCGCTAGGCTCTCCCCGCCCTGCCTGTTTCCTTTGCCTCGTGCCTGTCTCAATCCTACCTGAGCCGAAACGCCCCAATCCGCACTTTACTCCGTTCAGCAGCTTTCTTGGTGAAAAACAACTTGTATCACTGTTTCGCAGGAAGGTTTTCAGTTCGGTCAGGGCCGAGACTACAGACAGAAAACACTGGAAACTTCCACTGCAAAAACACCACCCGCCTCTCACATTTTCCAACCTTATTGATTCCGTGATCCAAACGCCAACCCCAGCTCGGGTCGGTATGAAAAAGGGCTCCAAAGGGAAGTCCCAGCGGCTGTCAGCTTCATTTGGAATGTCTTTCAAAACCCCGCGTGCAGAGGGAGCCTGCTCCATCCCTACGCCCTGAACCAAGCACACATTCTCATCAAACACTCCCCACCGAGGGCTCATCCTAACAACTGCTGCCCATGGAAGGCTCCGTGTTGCCTCATCTGCCTCTCATGAGGAGTACGGAAGGAAAGTAGGAAGGGAGGCAGGGAGGGATGGAGATAAGAAGGGAGGCAGGGAGGAAAGAAGGAAGGAGGCAATGAAGGAAGGAAGGGAGGGAAAAACTCAAAATTAAGAAGAGATGGGGGCAGTTGACCCGGTGCAGTGAGGGAAATTGGAGGTGAAAAGGCAATAAATGGTGCCGTGGACCATGGGGGGGGGGGAGTGGGATGTGAATGGCTGCACTGATACTCATTCAGGTCAAACACAACCAGACGCCCATAGGCACCGGTGCAGCTCCTTGGCCACGCCCCGCGCCGTAACCTGGCCACGCCCCCCGGGGCGTCTCAGTTTTGAAGCCACGCCCCTACCATTCCTGGCCACGCCCCCATGCCCTGCGCCCGTCGCTTTTTGGCTAAACCACGCCCTTTCCGTTTGGCCACGCCCCCGCACGCCGTCGGTCCGATTCCAGCCACGCCCATCGCCGTTAGCCACGCTCCTTCGTGCCATCAGCCACGCCCCCTTTCTGTCCTGGCCCCGCCCCGTCCCACGCTGCTCTTTGCCCGCACCGCGCCCGGTGCCGCTCCCGAAGCCACCGAACGGACCCGGTTCCGGCCCCCGGACTCACGGGCCCGCTGCCGCACCCGGACCCGCACCGCGGACCCATGGACGGCGGTCTGCGGCCCGGATCCCCGCAGCCGGGACCGGAGCCGCGCTCCGGACTCGCGGAACCAGACCCGAACGCGGGCGCGGACCCGGCGCCCGGACCCGCGAACGCGGAGCCCGATCTGAATCGCGGTCCCGAGGACCCGGACCCGGATCGGCGTCCCGGCGGCGCGGAACCGGTTCCGGCCCCGGCGCCCGCCCCGTGCCGTTGGTTCCTGGAGGGCCGCTGCCGTTTCGGGCCGCGCTGCCGCCGCCCGCACCCGGGGCGGAGTCCGACCGCCGGCCCGGAACCGGCAGCGACGCGGGAGGAACCGGGAGCGGCGGGGAAGAAGCCGCCGCTGCGCCGCGCCGCCGCCGTCCTCAGCCGCCTCCGCTGGGACCCTCGAGCGGACCCCGCGGCCGCCACCGTGGAGCACCGCGACCGCTTCGTGGGCGTCGTGGAGCGGCCGCTGCTGGAGTTCTTCACGGGGCCGCTGTGCGACGCGGGGCCCGCGGACCTGGCGGTGCCCGAACACCGCATCGTGCGCATCCGCTACCGCGGGCGCTGCGTGTGGGACCGGGAGAAGCGCATCGATCGCGTGTTCGGGTCGGGGGGGGGGACGGGGACCATGCGGGAGGTGCTGGAGGAGCTGGGGGAGGGCTGGGGGGAGTGAGGGAGGGCGACGAACCCCCGAAATGCCGTCGGGGGCCCTTCTGTACCCCGGAGGTGACGGTGAGGTCCCCTCTGTGCTGGGGACGTGGGGATGCGCACTCCTGGAGGAGCCCTCGGCTGCAGTGACGTGGGCACAGGGTTCCCTTCTGTATCCAAAAAAAGGGCACCAAAATCCCTTTTGCATTGGGGACATGGGGACGTGCACATGGGATCCCCTTGGGCACAGGCTCACGGACATAGGGCGCACACACGCTTGGGGCCCTTCTGTACCCTGAAAGTGACACGGACGTCCCTTTAGCACTGGGATAACATGGCGGTGACATGAACGCCTCACCCTGTTCTGTAGTCCCACGGTGACAGTGAGGTCCTCTCAGCACTGGGGATGTCGGGGACCCTTCTGTGCCACAAACACACGGAGATGGACACTTGGACCCCAGAGGTGACAGTGGTGTCCCTTTGGCATCGGGGACATGGATGTGGGGGACCCTTCTGGTACCCCAAAGGTGACACTGAGGTCCCCTCGGCCCTGAGGACAGGAAAACCTGGACCAGGACACCGGGCTCCTTTTGTCATGGGGACGAGGACGCACCGGGCGTCCTTACCGTACCCCAAAGAAAGTGGTACTGAGGTCTCCTTGGCTCCTGGCAACAATGACATGGGGACGTGGCACCCGGACACCTTCTGTCCTCCATGGGTGACACCGAGGTTGCCTTGGCACGGGGGACACGGGTATGGCGACGTGGACATTGGGTCCCTCTGGGCCACGGGGGGGACGTTGATGCCAAAGCCCCCTGAGCTCTGTCACTACACTACAGGGACATGGACAGAGGGTCCCCTTGCCCACGGGTGTACATTCTGCACCCAAACAAAGGCACCAGAATCCCTTCGGTGTCAGGGATGAGGATATGTGAACACGGACACTGGGTCCTCTTGGCCGTGGGGTGCTGTTCACTGTTCTGTTACCATTTCTGCTCAGAGGGAAAAGACAGAAGGCCTTGGGAGGTCACCTGATGGCCCTTTTCATCGTCTGGCTCACCTCTGCTGCCCGTCTGCCTCAGCATGAGCGTAAGGCCTTTGGCTTTTGGACACTCTCTCTCTTTGCATTTGATTTTTTAGCTCATATTCTAATGATCTTGTATTATTTTGTATTACAGAGTGTTATCTGGCATTCCGATATCTTTTCTAGCAAATTAGTTTGTTTCCTTTCAGATCGTCGCTTCTGTTCTGTTTCAGAGCCCATCTCTTCATCCTTTTTCCCATTTCCATTTTCCAGGGTGCGGATCCACAGATCCCCCCTCCCGCCAGTCACGGAACCAGGCCGAACCAGCCCACAGACCACTGACACTCTGGTCGAGGTGCCACAAGATAAAGCTGAGTAGCTCAGCGGTGGTAGCGGTGGGAGGAGGACGGTTGGATGGGATGATCTTGTAGCTCCACTCCAGCCTCGTGTTTCCACGGTTCCATCACCGTTCTGAGCTGCTCTCTGTGTCTGGGCCGTATTGCTTCAGGCGCTCCCTGCTCTCACTGCACAGAGGTGCTCTCTGAACTGCACACTGCATCTGCAGTGCTCCTGTTTCCTTCAAGCCATTCTCCTCTGCAGTTCCCAAAGGATCACAGAACCACCGAATGGCTTGGCTTACAAGAGACCTTTCAGATCATCCAGTTCCAATCCCCTGCTCCAGGCTGGGACACCTCCCACAGCCCCGTCCTGCCTGGCACTGAATGCCTCCAGGGCGGGGGCATCCACAAGCTGCTCCCTCTCAGGAAATAATTTCCTCCTAACAGCCAGCCTAAATCGACCTCCTTCCACTTGAAAGCCGTTTCCCCTCATCCTGTCGCCACACACCCTTATCAAACAGCCCCATCCCAGCTTTCACGGAGCCTCCCTTCAGGCACTGCCCACGACTTC